TGCCCCTTCACCAGCTTAATTAATGTTGGGGAGGAGGGTGTTTCCGTATTTATAGTCCATGCAACCTTTGAATGATCCTCTCTCTCTGCACAGTCTGGAGCGACGACATCCTGTGTTAACCTTGGTTTGGTATCCAGTTGGATTACTTTCAAGACTTCCTATTTGCATTCCTCCTCCTGCCCACTCGAGCATAGATAGCCTTTCAAGTGTTACACATAAAGAAGAAACCATGCCTCGGAGACCAGGAATTTGGAAATTGCTTCCTCTTGCTCTTTGTCATCTGTATGATCTGGTTTAAATGTTTGCCTTTTGTCCACATGATTCAGGGCACACGAATTTTGTGCACGTGCTTTAAGTGAGGATGGACTTCCTCGGTGAGCCCCAGAATTTGATCTATTTTTTGGCTTGTAGTCGTAGAAAGTATGCAAATGAATCCCTAAACCTGGGGGGAGGACGGGGGACAGGACAAAAACCAACCCCGATGTGCGTGCTAAAATTCTCATCTTGGAAAAAAGTCAAAGCAGCTTTTCCAACAGATTAGGTCTTGTGGATGACTGCGTTTGGATATGGAGAATGCCCATTTCTTGCCTTGGGAGGATTTTGAAATTCGTGTTGCTGTTTCTTTCTGGACTCCTTGAAAAGGGGAGGGAGGAGGGGATCGTTTCGGCTTAAACGAATTAACTTTTTTTTTTTTAAAGGCAGCACATCATTAGGGGGGTGTGGTCGGTAACAATGCACATTTGTGAGAGAAAGTCTGGCTTGATTTCTGGTTTTGCACAGTATCATTGAGTGAAATGCTCCTTTTGTTGCAATTGTGCGTCAATCGGTGATGCGACAAAGAATTTCTCTTCTTGTTTCTGGCTGCGGTTGTGCAGTTGGAGAGGAAGCGCGGGCCCTGGCTGCCGCTCTGCTCCTTCATTTGGGTCCTGGAACATGAACTGTGCAGGGATTCCTAATGCAGAAGCAGCTCTTAATATGTGCAGCTTAGAGAAGTGAGTTATTGTGCCAGCAAGAATTGTTTGAAGAATTAAAATAGACCCGTTTCCTTGAGGCACTGTGAAGTTAATACTCAGGAGTGTTACCTTGTAGCAGTGATTTGAGGGGTATTATTCCTCAAATCCCTATGCTAATGTGCATGTAGGTATAAATAACAGTGCCTCTGCTAAGGTTGTTTCAGTATTTATTAACCTCTCCCCTTTTTCAAGGGCTTACAACGGAGCTGCAGAAAGATGGGGGAGGTGGTGGTGGAAAGAAATCTCGCCCAAGGCCGTAACTAGTTAACATTGTCTGTGCGTCTTCTTTTTTTCCTTTAATGATATAGTGAAGCAGTTTAGGGAGACTTGGACACCAACAACTAATGAAATTTGCTCCCCTGCTTGACTGCCGAGGTTGCGCGTGCCGCTTCCCTGCTTCTTTTTTTAATAAAGGAAATGAGTACCCCGAATCGAGTCATGCCTCAAGCCAGTCGCTTTAAAATTAAAGCTGAAAGTTAACCCCCCTCCTGAAAACCACGCTGCTGGTCTAGTTCCCTACTCCGCGCTGCTCAGAAGCCAGATCTGTGGCCCCGGTCTGTCTTTGAACTGTGACCGTCTGCTGTGAGCGCTTTGGGATGAGGATTTCTGTGCTGTGCCCATAGCACTGGATGCTCAGTAAAGAAATCACCGTCCTTAGTACTTGCTGCCCTGTCTCAGTATTTGAGTGCAGGTAAAATGTTGAACTCCTTGTCAGACCTTTGGGCACATTGCACTGGTTTACAGGGAAAAGGGAGTTGAGGACCTTGGGTCTGTCTTTGGTCAGGGCAGACTGGGCATGCGGTGCAGAAATAAGCCTGTCTTCATAGTCCGACAAGTACAGGGGGATGCGTTTGTGCCGATAAAACTCATCTTGTTGCACCAGGATAACTAGAACATAAAACGAAGCTGGTTCTGCTGTAAGCATCAGTGGCCATCCTTGGCACCTGTGCGCTGATGGAGATCTCTCCTTAAAAATTTTAGAAATTGTGGTGCTGTAGGGCAACGAGGGGCCGTGAAAAATGAAATGAGAAGGTGTGAATGGTATGGGTGGGAGCTACGGCCCCTCTTCAGGGTATCTTCATGTGATGAAATGATGTCAAGTTGAAGCTTAAACTTAAAATTACTTCTCCCATGTGCTGAATTATGATATCGGTAGCAACAGCTGATTTTTTTCCCTCCTTTTCTCTCTTTCTTAGGTAAGTGAGAAATGCTTGGACACCCCAATTGAATGGTAATGTTCTGCATGCAGCAGCTCCCAATGCAGGAGAAGGCATTTGCCAGACGCTTGCCAACCAAGACGCTCCATTAGTAAGTCTAGCAATAACCGAACGTCTGAGCGACGGCGTGCCTGTGAGACCCACGACGACCGTCGGCCTGGTGTTGGGTCTGGGGTCTGTCCCTCTTCTTCTCAGACTGATCATGGGGTCCCTAAAAATAATAATAATAATAAAAAAGAGGGGGACAAGAAATGCAGAATTGGCTTGTCATCAGGATGATGCTTGGCATGAAGCAGAGTTCTTGCATTTCTGTAGGATACTCTGGCATGGGTGGGAAAAAATAAAGCAGTTCTTTTTAAGCTGCTTTTTCTCCTTGTAGATTTGAGATCATTCTTCTCTGGGTGACTTTTATAATAAAAATTGATTCCTCATGGCAGGAAATGGCTCCTGTTTAGTGCTGAGTGGGATGTGGGATGGAAGGGAATCTTTTTTAAGCCTAGTCTGAAATTAAAATCAAAGGAATACCTAAAGTAAGGGGGAAAAAAAACTTCTTTAGTCAAATTTTGCGAATGCTCTTTGCCTTATTCGGTGAGGAAGGAGAGCTGGCAGGAGGAGTTAGGCACTGGAAGGGGAAATCTAATAGTAGTCTTGCAAATAAATGAAGGCGCTTTAAAGCATCACTAGCTGGATTCTTTCCATGCTGGAGAAATACCCCTATTGACAGGACATTTGCAAGTCCTGACCATGTTCTCAGTGGTTTAATGGTAGTTCATCTGCTTATGAAGGTGGGTGAGAGGCTTTTCATATGCCTGAAATCCTTCCTCAGTAGACATAAAAGGAAAGACGCTTCATTCACCGCATGGTTCATCATGTGCTAAGCCTCGCTCCCTGGCTCAGTTTCGGTGGGTCCCTTAATGGTCTACAAGCACTTGGCTTTTTAACTGGTGCACATTGGTGGCCAGTGGGCTTGCTTAGATGGCAAACTCCTCTCTTCTCAAGTTTTCTGAGACAATGCATCGGAGCATTGAATTGGCAAGAGCGTTTTGGTGAGGTCAACTGAGACTCTAGGTCGACAGCAAACCTGTTATTTTCAGGGAATCCTACTGGGGTATCTTGTGTTTCCCGAGGAACCTGGGGAAATCAAATCTGTTTTGAGAACGTGACCAGCGATGGAAGCTGGGAATGGTGGCTGGGGCTTCCTAAAGGCTCCGGTCCTGCAAGGTTGGACTATCTGATGACAGGGTTGAAAGTTGAGGCCTTGCATTGTGTTTCAGTGCACGTTTAGCTGTCCTAGTCCGCCATGGGGAGGAAGCTACCCTGCAAAAAAATAAGCTTTTAAAATTCTTTTTAAAGAACATTTTTTCTCCTTCTCAACTATGCTAATGATAGGATCTGCACAGACGAGACCACTTGAGCCAGCTGCGATGCTAAAGAAAGCGTCTAGGACTTGTGAAAGATTTTCCAGTGCGGGATAGCATAAAAGGACTGAAATAATCCTCTTGTAGCCATGTGGTTATTGGTATTAGATTATGGCCAGGAGCTCAGGAGCTTCAGCCCTCACCTGAACTCGCTGCGCTCCTCAGCTGTATGGACTGCTAACGCGCAGGCTGCTTTTCTCATCGTTTTGTCGTCCGGGGAAATCCAGCTGTTAGCTTCAGTAGGCATTGCACACCTGCCTTTTTTTACAAGAAACCAGACATAGCGAGTGGGCTGTTAATGAGTAGAAGGGAAAACTGGGAATGGGAGTAAAATAAATTATAGTTCCAAGTAGGACCTATTTAGTCAAAAAATACTTGTGTAATGTGTTAGAATCCCATTTTCGAGCAATAACACACTCATCGTTGTATTCAAACACGGCGATAAATGCATCAATCTAAATTCATGATTTTGGTTTTTTCATATTGCTGCTAATTATTGAACATAACTAGCTTATTCATAATTTCTTTTCTCCTTCTGCTTGATAGCCATAATCCTGTATTTGTGCTGCTGTCATTCCCATGGTAACAGACTAATGTCTGAAGCAAAAGATTATTAAATACAGAATAGTACATTAAAATAATGTTAAGGTTCTGACTTACAGAGACTTTCACATGGGGGCAAACTTCAAAAAAGAGAACATTTATACAGAAAGCAATTTACTTTGCCAGTAATGTTCTGTATTCCCAAAGCTATTACTGAAGAGATTTGTTTGAGTAACAGCCTTCTCCCTCGCAGCCCATCTTCTCCTCCTGCTTTGCAGAGAAATCCTAATCTTGTGTTTATGTCATCAGTCCGTTGCCATAGAAACTTTGTCACAAATGTATCATGACCTCACAGCGGGATGGAGAGGGAGGAAAACACGGGTTCAAAGGAAACGGTAAAAGGCGACGATTGCTCAGAACAAAAATGCAAGCCTTAACCAAAGGGAGCAAGGCAAAGCATGGAAAATTCACGTGAATGTAGGTGATATATGAATGTCTAAGTGTGCACTTTTACTTATTACTTTGGGGGTTTCCGTTTCTGCCAAGTCTGTTGAATTTGCAGCTAGTTTTACAACAAAATAAAGTTACAACACCCACTAGATTGGTGATTTGACTTGATATCCTCACTTGCAACAAAGCAGTATGGTAAGGTCTGCAGTGGCTTGGTGAACTTTGCTTCCGTGATTTCAGGGGCATGGCTGGAAGCTGAACAGGGACGCTGCCTTTCTAGTTGTTAAATACCAGTTTTATTACCCTCCAAACTCTGTCGTGTGTTTTCCCTCCCTACCTTCCCTTCCCACCCCCAGTTGCTCCGTACCCCGATTCAATGCTTGCTCGTTAGTGAAGCAGAATTGCTTGATCCATCAGTGCGTGGGGAGTGTTCGTGGTGGACTGGTGAAATTCTGGTACCACAGGTGCCAAACCTGTTTTAAAGCCTGGGGAGATGGCATTGAAAGGCAAGACAGGAACCAAATCCACATAGAGTTTTAGCACCCACAAGATAACCAAGAGGTTTGATTGTCTGCTGCAGAAGTGGACAGAAAATGGACAAGTACAGACATGATATCTTAGATATCCTGGGGAGGGGCGGACTAGATGACCTCCTGAAGTCCCTTCCTACCCTAATTTTCTATCCTTCTGTATCTGTCTATAGAAGTTGCTTGATTCAAGGTAGCTTTTGTTG